ATCATCGCCGGTCTATTCGCCGCTCGATGCGGCTAACTTCGTGCGTCACTCCGTGTCCGGGGTTCTCAAATCACGGATCTCTTTCTATGCATTCTCTCGCGGGATTCGATTTAAAAGAAATGAATTATCATTTTTATTTGTAAGACCAATAAAAAACGAATATTTTGATAATAAGGATAGGAGCGCTTTTGGGAAAGATAAGATAAGATACGGATTGTTGATTGTTTGAATTAAAAATATTGTATATTGCATGCGCAGTCCTCGATTTTGAGAATCTTTATATTTCAAATGACTATATACAGTGTATGGTTCACGCATTTTCTTTAGATGACGGATATGCCTGAGTGCTTTCGCAAAGCCACATTATTGGCTTTGTTGTGTATCATAGTATGTTGCATCAGAATTATTCCGACGCATTAAAAATAGCTAACTTATATGACTTGTAAAAAATTAAGAAAATTAACATACGGGAGCAATTTAATTAACGCGCGTTAAATATATGATATAATATTGTTAAGATATAATAAGCGAAATATTGTAAGACATAAAAATATATGTATAGCTATCTATCATGTACAGTTGGGAAATAATTATGCTCGTTACTTGTAACGAATTAGTTACAATTAACGAGTGACTTTTTTCAGTATTAACTCAATTTCGTTCCTCTTTTTCGTTTATAACTCATCTGCAACTTAACCTATAATAGTTCATTTCTTTGGTACTTATAGTAACTAATTTAATATAATTACTTTATAATTTTTTTAGTAATCGACATAAATCCAGTAAACGAGAATGGATTAAAATAAATTGAAATTTTTTCCTATCCGAATGCATATTTTAAGTAGCGAATACGTACTTTTTTTGGATTTAATTGGTTTCAATTGGATGCAATTGGATTGAAAAACTGCATTTCCTATTCAAAATTTTGAATTGAACAATATTCATAATGTGTGTGTTGTGCACAGAAAAAGCTAATATTATTTTTAGATTGAAAAGCATAGAGATATACTCCATGCAATTCCTATAAATGATTAAAAATTCAGGATTGAAAAGCATTCATTTTAATATTCGTGAATCAATATTTCTGAAAATCTGAATCCATTTCAATTCATTTCAATTCATTCTCGTTTGGTGGGAAGTCATTATTCATAACGAATTTGCACCTTTCCAAGAGGAAAAAAGAAAAAAGATGAATTGGTGCAAAGATTCAGCAAAAAAAAAATAGGCCTAATACTTTCTGTTCCAGTGACAAAAAATCTTCGCATTCGATTAGATTGCGCTAATTGTTTTTGGATCTTAATTTGATTGTATAATATGTACAATCGTTATTCAATTTTAATTTAAGACATCATTTGTGTTAATCAAAGAAACATGTAACAATAAATATGTATAAAGCAACTGGATCCCATGCAGCATAGAAAGATTGCAAAATGATTACAGATATATCTCATTATAATGTTGTAATATTGCAAATAAATTGCGTAATGTTGCAGCGCAGTGTATTTGCAACTAAATAATTCTTTTATTATTACTGAATTTGAAATATAATTTGTGTGATATAAATAAAAAATATAGAAAAATAACTAATCAATATACACATATTTTATATTATAATTATTATATTATTATTAAAATAGACGCAAAATTTGATAATGCTGCAATAGACTTTATACTAAAATCGAAAAAAAAGTTAAGGCCCCATTGAAGTCACGAAAATTTACCCAGGGTCGGAGTCTTTAAAGGGCTTCGCATAAAATAATAAAAGGAATAAGAGAAATAAAGGGAACAGAGAATAAGAACTATCAGAAATCATATTGTGGAATAGCTTTAAGGGTCGTCGCATACAAAATTCCTCAACAGTGACCGTAAAACTTAAGCCGATGAACTAATCAGGATATTGCTTTAAGTCGTGCTTATGCATAACTTCGCAATAAGGTGAATTTCAATCAGTTGAAATTCGCTTTATGGATAAGTTTATTGCTATTTCTATTTCCGTTAAAATACGTAGATCTAAGATTGGTGGCCTAATTTCCACCGAGAGTTTAAACCGATTACAGAGCATTCTTCTGTCGTTCGACGTAACAGGGAAATACTCGACTGTAATTGGTTGGTTCTTACATTCTGATCCGATTTAAATCCTCAGTGGAAACTAGGCCACTACAGAAATTTTGTGTGCGGTAAAATCCTTAAGGCCATAGCACCTTCCGTAACCTTAAGACGTGAATTTAAGCCGGATGAGCCAATCAGGATATTGATTTAGATCTACTCTAACGGAAATAGGAATAGCAGTAAATTTATCCATAAAGCGTATAATTTCAACCGGTTGAAATTTACCTTATTGCGAGATTATGGATAAATTTACGATCATTTCCATTTCCGTTAAATTACGTAATGTAAAGTAATCTAAAGTATTCTGATTGGCTCAGCTTAAGTTTACACCTTACGTATGCTGTTATTTTGTGTAAGGTAGCCTTTAAAGGCGGAGATTAAACCCAACCTTAGCACGTGCTGTGATAGGCAAAGAGATAGGAGACTATTAGCAGTAGGGAGAGTACTAGCAGAGGGAAATATGACAATCTAAAAACCTGTAACCGCAAATGTTACCAGATATTGTCGAAGAAATAAATGTTAACTACACAACAATCCTTTTGCGAGATATATTCCTAAAGAGAAATAAATCGCCGAAATCTCTATTGATTTGATAAATTTTGGAGATTTCAATTATTTATTTCCCATCAGAAACATCACGAAAAGATTATTGTGTAGTTAATGTCCATTTCTTCAGAAGTGCTGCGGTTTGCGTAGCAACATTTGCGGTTACAAGTTTCGGGCTGTCATGTCCTCTCTCAGGTTTCTCTACTAGCAGTAGGTTCAATAGTCCAGGTTTCTGTATTATAGTTTTTTATTATTCCTTATTCCTATTATTCCTATTATAGTTTTTTATTATTTCCTTAGCCACTTCTCTTATAATACTTAAAAAATTTTTTAAATCCATATATCCATATTTCCAAAAAATTATGAGAGTTGATTATAAAGATTTTAAAAAATCTTGTCGCGTATAGGCAACAAATGTTTATCTTATTAAATTTAAAATCATAAAAATCCTTAAAATATAATTAACAGTTAAAGAAACGGGCTAATATGAGAGTACAGTTCACAATGCGCAAAATATTAACAAATTTTTACTATTTATTCAGTAAACTATCAATGACATTTTTTTCAACTCTTTTTCAATTAACATAAACGAAACTTAAATATATTAATGTAAATTTCATCGATTCATTAAGGATAAGTCACTCACAGTTTACCGAACTGTAAAAATTGAAGTGGCATATGTCCTCAGGAAACCGAGATATTTGTATATGTTAATGAGCTTGGAAGACAAAATTCTTAAAGTTTCGTTTATTTAATAAATAGGTGGTAAAAAGAAATACGGAAGAATATATATTCAAGACAAGTATCCAATGTAGGTTTTATTAAAGTTTTATTAAGATTTTTTGTAATTTTGAAAAATATATGCATTATTATTTTAATTCCCTTAAAATTATATCATTTCAGCTATACTTTTAGCTACTCTTATTGCCTTAAGTTTTTTGTGTGCTCACTGCCATCACAGCGACGTAGCGAGTTTTTTTTTTTTAGCGCGTGATTTGTGCGCAATTGATATTAGGATACCTTCCAACAAGCGACTCAGTGATCATCTCATTCTCGTTTAATACTGGCGAAGAACAAGAATGATGTAATGATACACCATGTCACACCGTGTGTGTTCTTGTTGGAAAGCACCCATCCCTATCTTCTTATTGCTCTCTGAATGCCAAGAATATTGTCTTTAGTACTTTCAAGGAATCGCTAATTGAATAATAAATTCTGAATGCTAAAAAAGATAGAATGATGTTCGTGTTATTTATATCGACTTTCGAATAATGCACTAAATGAAAAGCCCAATTATTAATTTCAAGTTTCAAAAATCAATCAGACATCAAGAGAATAAGTTTCGTAAAGATGCAGTCCAAAAGTTCTAAGAGAGCTTTATTTAAATTAATTTAGTTATAAACACAGAACTCTCATCTTAAAATTTATGATATTATAATTAGTAAAAAATGAAAAATTATGTTATTCTTTTTTTGGAAATATTTATTTTGGAAATATTGTTTATCTTTTTTTTTTAAATTCATATCATATGCACATCATACCGTCAATTATCTATTAATTCAATACTCTATATTAATATAATTAGACCTGTAATAATATAATGTATTAAAATAATAAAATTATAATAGAAAAACGTATATGTCTCAATTTATATGACGATAGTAACTGCAGTAATAATTGTACCGCTAAACATAATGCTAATCATAAGAAATTATTCGTATACAACGAATAATCCTGGTGCAATAGCAACAAATGAATTATGGTTGAAACTTAGTAATAACAATTAGTAAAGACGACGATAATCAGCCGCATAAAAAAAATGTCGGCGTTATGATCTCCTAATTTGATATGCAATAATAAACGCAGCAACTTGTCACGTTTTATTAATTTTAACAATCAGAATGAGAAATCGGATAATCGACATTCTTATTATTCCATTTGTTTCATTCCGAAGATATGCAAAACATAGTTTGGAGGAATGTTAGAATTAAATTACGTGAAGTATAAAAAGAGACGTCGCAGAAATACTTTGTTTTTTGTTGTTGACACACATTATATTTTTAAAAATAAAACTAATGTTCATTTTTGAAAGAAAGAAGTTCTCTATTCTTTTATGTTTTAATTATGTTTTAATATTTATTGAACTTTCTTGAATTTCAAAGTGATGAAATAGTTACTCATTATTTTCTCAAATTCGATTTTACTGATTTTATAAATGCACTCGTTTATATACAATTTTTAAGAAAAGTAGATCGAGCTGTCAAAAGGCTAAAAGCTAACATTTTATTTTCCATTAAAAATATTCAAATAATTCATTTTTTTCTTTTCAAGTCGAAACTGTTTTATCCTGGATCCTAAAAATTTTTGAGTACATTAAAGTTCGATGCTTATTATTATTATTAGATAACATCTTATCTAGTATCCCATTTTCCTTGATAATTATGCATGTTTTATTATGCTTACATTCTAAATTCTATTGCATCGAATTAAAATTATTTTGTAAAAGCAAATAAAAGTGATCGAACTAGAATTAAATTTCACGTAGTAGAAAAAATAATTTTCTAAAACGTTAAATCTGATTTACAAAAAAAATTTTTTTAACAAAATCTGTATATTGATGCACACAATTTTTAAGAATTTAAGAAAATGTCTTCTTTTCGTCATAAAAACGATTGTAGCCTTTGATCGATTTGATTGAAAGATATGACTCGCATTTTTACAACACGGTATCATTCTGTCAAACTTAATTCGCTAAGCAGCTCGTCATTGTACAGATTATAATTCTCTTTTGTTAATTCGTGGAAACGTGTTGACACACTTGATTATTACAAACGTTCACACGCAAATTTCAAAGAAACTGTGTAAAAAAAGTATCGATTGAACGTTGAAGTGGCGTGAATCGATTATTATTTTAAAATATTTAAAGAAATCATCGTAAAAAGATCAAATATCAATTAAAAATATCAATTAATCTGGATTTAAGTCTTCTCGAGTCGCATCACTCTTATATTAATCGAACGTTCTTTTGAACATTTAATATAAACTGCACTGCACTTTATCGCATTTCTGAGATTTTCAAATGCTTAGCGAATTGTTAAAAAGCACCGGGAATTAACCGACTATTTACATGCAGAAATTAGAAGCAAGATTCGTATAAAATCTCTTTGTGTGTAACGTTTCGATTGCATTGTAATTCCTTTTTTCGCTCTTTATTTAGTATATTGCACAGACTCTGAAATCGACGTTAAAAGAACAAATTAAAATTAATAGTTTAATTATAATTTGATTACAATAAGTAACAACTCGGATTGTGTTACAAAAAAGAGTGAAAAAAAAAAATTTCTGAGGCTTGTTATGAAAAAGCAAATATTGAACAAATCCGGCTTCTAATTTCCCTTATCGATTTTTTGGCAGGTCTATATGAATCGCATCGCGCTAGATCACACTAGATTTCGATCCAGCAATCCTCCGAGTAGATCTGATCCCACTTGAAGTAGGCCCGTGGATCCATCGCGGATCCAATCAAAGCTATCGAAAGATGCCAACGCGGACGTTGTGGGCGAGACTATAGGAGTATTTCCGTCCCCGCCACCGCCGGTAAAAGGCCCGATTAAATGCTTCCTGGTGTCCGGGCTGAGATGATCAGGTAAAGATATGACATCTGTGTTCGCACAGTGTGGAACTATCTGATTGTCCACATTGATGGATAACGGAGTCAGGTTACTCGATAACACAGTTGACATATTACAAGAACTCATCAAAGGATCCTAAAAAATAAAATTACATTCGATTTTACTACTTTTACGTGAGTTACGTTTAAAAAAATATGAGAATATACGAGTCGACGAATTTTGACAATTAAGTACAAATTAAATTTTTAATTTATTTGAAGAGATATCTAATTTAAAATTTGATTACGAAGATTTCTCGCTTTAAGTATTTAAAATGTCAAAGTATATAGAATTGTTGCAATGATATATAATCGTATTTAAAATAAAAAATTCAATTTTCTATTGGTTTTTATCATCATATATAAATATTTACAATTTATATTTTCCAATTATTCATAACTAGAACTAGTATTAAATAAGAGCTTAACTATCTGACAAATGAGTTTGTTTTTATTGGCTTGAAAAACTTAAAAAACAAATAAAACGTTGCTGCGTTTCACAGAAAAGACAAAAGGAGTAGAGAGAAGATTATGCTGATAGTGACACGTTAAGTGATAAACTGCTTTTTAGCGCCCTCGATGTTCTTCAAGAGCCCCATTCCTCATCGTTCGCGTGACTTCAGACTTTCATAAATGTAAATGAATGATTATTGAGCAAAGTGACTGTGACTATCATGTCGCGTGATCTAGACGAAGGTAAGCCTTGTGCAGATCGTAAAGACGATAACCATCTCGTGATCATAATTCTTATCAGATCACTAAAGAATTTGATGACCAATCATGTATCCAATAATCCATTATTATCCAATATGAAATAATTGACATCTGTCTACATTTACATTTTTAAAATTTATTTTAATATTATTTTGTAATTTGAAATCAAATAATAAATATATGTGCAAATTAAAGAGTTTATTAAAATTACTGTCTAAAACTTAGATAACTTTCCAAAAATAATGAAAATATATAGAAAATATATAATTTATATCATTTTTGTATTTAACACATATTTAATTTTATAACTTTTTATAAAAGAAATTCGAATTATAAATTTTCAATTGCTAACGATAGTTTGATAAAATAAAATCATTTTAATTGTTATATTATTTAATTATTATATTGAACATCTATCTAAAGATGAGTCTTGGCAACAGATTTGATGATAAAATCGTAGAACAGTAGTGGACGGAAAAGGATGAAAGTGGAAGGAAACGAAACGCAGCTGATCAGGTGATTCGATGTTCCATGTATTTCCATAACATTCAATCAACAATTCCATATACTTTGCAATTTGTGTACATAACATGACTCTAAAGTATAGCTCGTTTAATCCTAGGATGCACTCCAAAGCAATGCTGCTTACATAATTATCTTACCACGCATACAATTCTAGAAATATTATAATAAAACTCGTAGATTTCTTTTTTCCTTCCTCATTATATTCAATATGAGCAAAAGCATTAGTCATCTATAAACTATACTATATCTTTTATATTGTAAAATAAACATTACACGCAGTGCATTTCAGGATTAAACGACTAAGCGAAACTACCTCGCTTATCTATGAATCCTTCTCTTCGATTCACAATTCGCAACGAACTCATTTTGCATCTCTTTCTATGAAGACGCAACTTTACACTTTCCCTTTTTTTATTTTGAAACCTCAGACGCGATCTTCGAGCTTGCGGATGCAAACTCGAGGAACAAGCGGACGTATAAAAAGTAGGAAGACCTTCTATCGGCTTGAAATCGCGATCGAATACCACAGAAACTAGCATTTACACCGCCTCCTTTAGCTCATCCTCTCCATCTATAATCTCAATCTGGCGAAAATCAACCGCGTGATAATCGAAGAACTTTTCATTTCGTGTTGCATGCAAATTTCTGTTTTAGAAAAATCAACAACGATAAGACGGCGGCCAAAAGGAGGCAGTTCTTCGGACGATTGCTTCCTCCCGGAAGCGTCCTCACGAATTCCCGATGCTCTTCGTCGTTGGCTTCACGAAGCAAACATATCCCGCACTCACATCGCAACCGGAAACCAGGAGATTCATTAGCACACTGCTGCCGCCAGTGCCGCAGGAAGGATTCCTTCTCCGACTTGTTGCGTCGATCTTGTCTAGGCCATCACCGATACCGCCGTGATTTTCGCCTCCGCCTCCTCCCCCACCGCGATCGCCTTCCGATTCAACAAAATCGATGATATCGTCGAGGTCGCTATCACGCTGCTTCGAAAAGTCCTCGCGATGACGTTCGTTGTCACTGCGAATATGGCCGTTACTGTCAGGCAAAGTTGCCACCTGTGACACGATACTTGGCATCTGTGACGAGACGAGGCGACGCAGAAGCTGGCTGCCACAGGTGTTACCGAGAGTCGGCGGCGACTTTTTGTGAAGCGTTGTCGACTGCCGCTGTTGCTTCGTCACCAATGTATCTTCAAGATTTATACGCTCAAAAGACGAGTCCTCACACTTAAGACGCTTATATTCGTTTTCGGAGTCCGTATTAAGTCCGGAGTGTATGCGTTTATTGGGACGTTCCTGATTAGAGAACCATCGATTGGATTCGAAAAGCATGTCTGCAAGATCAAAATAAGATGTGTGTTAATTATATCATGTAAATTTACTATTGTACATTACATTCAATTGTTGAAGTTAATAATACATTATCAACATAATTTAATCTGCAAATATAAAAAAAAATAAAATTAGTATAGTAAATAAAATAATGGACGAGAAGAAAAAATACATGCTTACTTTTTCTAGGTGTTTGTCCTAATATCTGCGACGAATTTAGCAAACCTCCGCCGTGATCATTGTATCGCCGCGATACCGCTTGATCAGTTCGCAGTAATTGTGCCAGACTGGATTCGGAATTACGTTCTCGATCATCGAGTAACCTATTAAAAAAATAAATAGTAAAAACAGAGGACAAAGAAATGCACAGAAAAAAAAAATATTACTATATTTTTATTTTTGTTTTTCACTTTTACTATATTTTAATTTTGTATAATTATTTATTTTATAGTCATGGTTTGTAATTATTATTATAGCGCAAATTTTCATATCATCGATATTGATTAGATCCAATGTGACACTAACCATTTCGAGGATCCTTTGTCAGATTGCGACGAGCTCCACATTACCATGTTATCATTAATGAGGAATTCTAACGCTTCATCCTGGTCCGACATCGGAATATAGGGTGCTCTGAGCGCTAATTCTTCATCCCCTATACTATCACTGATACCTAACATAAGCATCTCGTCTTCGGAGAGTCCATCGCCGCCGCTACCTCCTGTAGGACTACCTAATGAGTCCACGCTGCGCTCAGGACTCTAAAACAATAATTATATAAACAAATATTAATACATGCGTCAATATATGCGTTAATATTATATTTTTGAGAGAAGAAAATTTTGAAACATAAATAATTTTTTGTCGCTCACTTGTCGATACTTCGAGAGAGACGGCGACACAGTGCTCGAATCGATGCCACAAGGACTTCCAGGGGAGTCGCCGTACATGAAGGGATCACTATCGGCTAAACGATCGACCGCATTCTTGGCTCTAGTAGTAGTGTCCACGAGGTCTGCATCTTTGAGGGATCCCGAGAGATCTGCGGAACGTAACTCCGGTGTTAGAGTGTCTCCCGGACTCAATAGAGGACAGCCATAGTTATCATTGCCGAAGATAAACTCATCCAGCATATCTGACAAGAAGGGAGTGTCTTCCAAAGGTACACACACATCACCGGCCGTAGGTGCGAGATGTGTCAAGTCCTCCGGCTCGTCCTTCAACACTACGAAAACATGATTTATCATAATGATCTTCTTTCTAATTGATTATTTATAACTTTAGATGATTAAATACATCGACCAGAAAGGAGGGCAAAAACGAAATTTTCACATAAATCGCGAGAAAAATTGAAAACCTCGAAAAAAAAAAAAGGAATTCCAAATCAATAGTTCCATTAAGAAAATCATTTGAGTCTTAACTTTTATTCTAAGTAACCAAATTAAATCTGATTAAATTGATTAAATTGAAAATGAAAAAATAGAAAATCACATGATAATTATTACATATTTTCTCACATATATCTTTCTTCAGACAAAATTTCTTCGGGTCACGAAAATATACTCTGTTACAGAAAGATAAATAATTCTCAACTCGTATGTCATAATATCTTTTCTTATCTTTTTCCCTCGAGTCTCTTTTTTCTCGCGAAAAGTTGACAATACGGATGAGGGTCAGCGACTCCTTTCTGGCCTTCGCTTTGAAAAAGACTTTTCTTTTTCGCAGAGAGAAATACGCACTGGTGAGACCCGGCTGATCCTCGCTGAAAGTCAAAAAGCCTTTATTCATATCCTCAGTACGAGGCGCGAAAATGCTCGCTGTGGCCGTTTGCGGACGACAGGATAATTGTGACTGTTCCTGTTCCTGTTGTTGTTGTTGTTCCTGTTGTTGCACGGCGGTCGCGAGCGGTGCGAACAGATGTCTCGTAACCGATTGCGGACGATCACAGTGTCCAGCACTGTCTGATGAATCGTTCACCACCGTCGGTTTATCCTGAAACAAAGATCGCATGACCGATTTATAGGAGAAAAGGCCAAAGATTATGGCCTCGATATAAAAGAACAATTAGCCTAGAGCTTGTTACACTCGGCACTTGCTATAAAAATCAAGTAATACTTTTAACTGGGATTTGGGTTACAATAACTGACAGATAACATGGAAATTACAATTTAAATTCTTACATAAAAATATCTGCTTTTGAAAAATTTTAATTAATTATCATCGCTTATTAATGTTTACTTTAATTATTTTCACACTATTAAAAATTTTTGTACTTGTTATATAAAATTTATGAAATTATTAGATGTATAAGAAAGGCGTAAAAGATTTAATGAAAACTTTTAGAAATTTAATCATGTCCTTATTTGAATTTATAATTTTTCTATAAAGACCATACAAGTATAAGACATTTCCATTACACTAATCGTTTAATGATAATCATTTTCAAAATATGAAATATCTCCTTCAAAGGAGAAAGAGAAATAAAAATACAATTTATTTTTACTTTATCATCCTAAGATGATAGCGAAATGTGTAAGCAATACGATTAACGTATTGTGATAAGCGATACTGACCCGACAAACATTTTCAATAAACAATAATTAGAGATGAGAAAGATTTGAAAATCATCCATATTATTTCAAATATCTTTCTAAAAATAATGATTATTATATAATAGAATAATAACAGTTACACTGATTAAACTTGCAATCGAAAATCCCTAGTAATTTTTCTAATTTCATGCCTCTTAGCAGAAATCTTCAAAATTCTAAGATCAAATCGTACTTCGGAAAGTACAATCAACCGTACCTGTAATATAAAGGGCGTTTTCTTAGCAAAGGACTGTTGGTTTACCGTTGCCGGTACGTCGTTCTCCTTAATCGACTCCTCCAGAGACTCTTTGAGAGCCTTCTCGAGGAAAACGAATGCCTTTTCTTTTTGGGCGTGTTTCGGCAAGGCACCGTCCTTCTGCGAATCGTCTTTGCAGTCGTTCTTTTCGTCGATTGAACGGAAGATCGACGCGGTAACGGCGAACGGTCGATCGTCGCTCCTGGACTCGTCGTCGACGTTCAATTCCTCGGGAATCTTCTCCTCGTCGTTTAGTGATACCTGACTCGAATCCGTTGTCGATACAGCACTACTATCGGCCGGCACCAAGACCGGCAACGGTTTCTCTATCTTCACCAAATTGGCGTCGTTGTCACGCGCGGCCAGCTGGCGCACGCTGTATACCTCATCCTCGTGCTCGATCCCACTGTAAGCAAAATCACGAACCGCCGACGTGGATAGCGTGTCCATGTATCCTCATTAATCCAAAACTCATTAATCCAAAACTTGGCTAGGAAGATCGAAAAGGATCAACGGATGCCAAGAAGGAATAATAAGATGTTACCGAAGTCGCGAAGCTTAACTTGATGATTTTGATCTAATTTTAATCGGATTTTTGAATTCCTTAATTTACTTATTAATTTACTTTTACTTTTTCTAAATAATTACGATGAATTAAAAAACAAGTTCTTTTCTTCTTCTTCGTGGAAGTTAAGATGTCCAACGACAAGCTAAGATGACAAAATAGGTACAGATTGTTGAGGAATGTTCATCTCATTATTTCTATATAGTTGTTATTCGATACATAAAAATGTACGTCCATTAAATTCTCTTAAAAGAATTCCCTTCAACGATCAACATGCGTGGTTGATGTTCTTATCAAACGAGTGACAGTCGTACGATACCGTGTTACGACACATAGCACGCGATACGCAGACATACTCGATATTTATCAATCGCGAAATCACGCATGCACGAAATTTGCTGTTATATAGTCTATCACGAAATGTTCCATATGTAAGCACGTGTACATACATTCACGAAATCATTCGCTACTGTCTGACATCTGGGGATATACAGGCAGCAAGCTGTCAATTAGGCAAACATAACTCCGGAAGTTTAAAACGAGCACAGCTCGAGAGATTAGCCTGCGAAAAATCTTTCGGAGGCGATGAACGAAAAAACTGATCCCCATAACATTTAAATACTCATTATAATTTAACGATTGTTATTGTTTCCCTAATGATATATAAACAGACGTAATAACAGAATGTATTCATTTCAATGAATTTCCAAGAATTTAATAATTATCTTTTTATTATTAATAATGATTATCACCTTCCAGTAATTTAATAATAGAATTCTTGTTTAATAATTGTTTTATCTTAATAAATAAAAATTAAAGATTTCCATACCACTTAATAATAAATGTAATTATTGATTTTAACAATATCAATGAGCCACGATAATATTTATTATTTCAAATTACAACTATAACGAATAATTTGGATTTCTTTCAGAAATTTATTCAAAAAGTTATTCAAAGGTATCTTTTCTATTATCAATAAACATATATACAGCTATTATATATTTTGTTTAACATTATTTGTCTAACTTAATTCTTTATTTAAAATATTTCGATTTGTGTGAAATACACGAATATACGCTCAAGAGAAAAACATAAAATAGAAATTAAAAAACAAGAATTCTATTTGAAATGTTTAAAAAAAAATCATATATTTTTCAAAATAAATTTTAAATAAGTAGAAATCTGCAAAAGTCGCAAAATTACA